AATTCGTTATTGAACTGGAGCGCAGAAAAGACAGCAACTTCGCTGCACGGGTGGTCAGCCGTTCTGATGACCCGATAGAGGATCTATGAAGCAACACCAAGTAACCCAAGTAAGTAGTAGAGATTAGGCGGAATGACAGGCTGAGCGCGGCCCTGCGGCCCAGTAACGGGGTTATGGTTATGGTTGGGATTAGGGTTTATGTAAAGCCGTTTTGTACGGCTGCAAAACCATAAAAACCTTGTGATACGTTGTATGACCCGCCGCGCACGAAGTGCGCGGCTCCCCCTGTATCGTCAAAGACGATATAAAGAAGCGACCGTGGGGGTCACCACGTGATACAATAAAAAAGTCATGTGAAATTTTTGGGCGAGCGAATTAGTAAAAGCCGATAGCTTTAGGCTTTAAAATTAAATTAGAAGGATGTAAAAAAGTTGATTGAATTAAAAGTAAATAAATGTACACATCTTAGGAGGGGCGCAAAATCGTCATTTGAATGTGGGACAATTTTGAAAAACTTAACTGAGGTACTACCAAACTGCGAGTTTTGCTCTAGAAATACACTTTTTTCGATATTTTCCAGTGTATCCTCTTAGTCTTAAATTTGTTCAATTAAAGGGAGGGGCACCAAAAGGGGAGGCCGAGGGTTAACGGGTGATACTCGTAAAATATCTGTTCCATACTCGGCGCGCGTCCTGGTAGGTTGTAAACCTACAAGGGGAGGGGTGCCAACAGGGGGGCGCATTTTCGGTGAAGGATTTATTTGGCCAGTGACGGTTACACTTAAGGTATTGTGTACCATACTTTCTTTGCCCGAGACTTTGCTGCAATGTGCAGCTCCTCATTTAACCCTCACACCCGATTTCTCGAATATTCGGCTGAGTAGACCGGGGGCTGCACAAACCACTCATGCGCTGATCCTTAGCTGAACGCCCACGACCAGGCAGACAGTGGAATTTGAACTTGCAACCTTACGATTGTAAGGCTGGCGTTCTAACCAACTACGCTACCTCACAGGAGGAGCAAAGTGCAAAGAAACTGGCACTAACTGCTGCAATTTCGCGCCCACGCATTCGCGCGCCGTTTGCAGCAGTTTGTGGCAGTTTTGTAGCTTACCTGAGGACCCCAGGCTATTATGTTCATTAACATGGCGAATAAAGATTTGGCGGAATGACAGGCTGAGCGCGGCCCAGTAAAGTAAAGACACGCGCGCAACTGCTACAAACTGGCACTAACTGCTGCAAACGGCGCGCGAACGCATGGGCGCGACTGCAGCAGATAGTGGCAGTTTGTGGCAGTTTCTTTGCACTTTGCTCCTCCTGTGACATTAACGGGTGATACTCGTAAAATATCTGCTCCGTACTCGGCGCGCGTCCTGGTAGGTTGTAAACAGCTATAACTGTGACATGGCCTTTTTGTTTTTAATGGAGCTTAGATCAAGCTAGATTCTTGCTGATTTCTGGGACAAAAATGCTTTGTTTAACGCTACAAAGTGAAACAAGCTAAGGCATTAGGGACTTTCGATTTATGAAATTTAAACATTTAAAATACAAGTCAATCAATGAACTATTCTTTAAATAATTTTCACTTCTGTTTTAGAATTTTTATTTAATCTTGAATTCGTTACTCGTCTAAATTTCTTCGAAGCTAGTAGCGCGCGCCGCTTTCTTCTTCCGATGGCAAGTGCTTGCTCTAACCAAAGCCCTTTCGCTTGCAGCTAGTAGCGTCTTAACGGGTGATACTCGTAATATTTGTTTCATATTTTGGGACCGTCGACGAGTCCAACTCGGCGCGCGTCCTGGTAGGTTATAAATCTACAAAGTAGCGTCACGCAGTACGTGTATACACCATACACATGGCTATGTGAAGGCAAGTGCTACGAAGTAGCGCGCACCGGGCCAGATCATTAACAATGGTTAAGCTCAGCGCAATCATTATAATCAATAATGAGTGACTAGCACCGCACTGATACAAATTTATGATTGAGATGAATTTTCGAGTAGCATACAGTAAATACCGTATTTTACATAGCAAAAATCTAATTTTCTTGAGCATATCTAATTTTTATGTGTTTATTATCGGATGTTCAAGTTTAACTAGTTTTATTATGATATCATTATATTATATTATATTATTCATTGTAATATGGTAATACAATTTAAATTTTGTTTTACTTTTGTTTTACTTATATTATATATCTTTGCTAGATTTGCTAGGAAGTTTATCAGTGTAGCTAACATGTTGAAAAAAGATATTCGTTTTTCCTATTTCATACGAACTAAGAACTATTGAATTGGTTTACTAGCTGTGATATATGAGGTGTCTCAGCTACATGGGCTGGCGGTCCCCCTTTTTTTATTTTTTAAAGAAAAAGAAAGAAGAGCTATTGAATTGCATTTTGCTGTGCAAATGTTTTGAGTTCCACTTAAATGCAAAATGATCCTTTTGTTCTTAATGAGCTAAAATCTTTGTTTTTATTGACATGATACCTTATGCCAGTTTATTTTTCATTTGCTTGTCAGTTTGTATGGTCTATGGGACTAAAAATTTTAAATGTTGCAACTCAGCTCTTTCTGGTAAACGTATTATATCACCAATGGGGTTTTCTATACATAACAGCCGTATTGCCTATTATTCAGATTTTTAATTCAAATAATCTCTGGTTTGTTTACAATGAAAAGGAGTCTAGTGCCTACATTAAAAATTTTTTAATTGTATTTAATTAATTCCATTTAAATAATGATTTTAAAGTTGCCACACTGAAGCCTTTAGGTCCAAAAATATACCCATTATTCTCACTTAAAAACAACTGTAAATCTGTAGGCTGTCACTCTATTAATGCACCCCACTGATACGTCCACTGCACTTAAAGTTATACAATAAATTCTACAATTCTAATTTTGTATCCTGATGGAGACCGGTGTCCATACAAAACATTTACTAGGTTGCCGTTTGGTTTGAGCAATAGCGAACAGCATGCACACTCCTTTGCCCCGTTAACCTATATCTAATCTATTTAAAGAGTGATAACCATACTACACATTGAATTAGGATTCCTTTAAATATCAAATTGATTTATTGTAAACTTGTTTAATCTGTAATAAATGGCATAAAATCGAAATTTTTGTTGATTTTCCTTAAAATTAATCCATTGAAAAAATTGGTCCATTATGGGAAACTAAAATTGGCTTTAAATAATCAGTATGGATTACTTCAGCAAATTTTGCAGCAGCTGTTTGTCATTTAAGATCCTGAAACACTTTATCAAAGCACAGTTGCGTAACGTTGCATCCCCCGCCCGAATAAGCACCCCCTGTTGATTTTCCTCTTCCTTTTATAGTAGAACATTAAAATTGGGTAAATTATGAGGATACGCCGGTAAAATATTTATCTAAAAAAGTGCTTTGCTAGTACTGAAGTTAATTTTTTTAAATTGTCTCACATTCAAACAACAATTTAGCGCCCTCCTAAGATGGTCCCCCCCCCTCCAGCAGGGCCCTACGTTGTGCCACTGGCAACTGTAACAGTTTTTGTAGTTCTATTTTTTCTCATGATTAAAGAAAATCATCTTTCAGACAATGTTGTTGTTAATAATTGTATCAACTGCCTTAGCCGTAGTAGGAAGCAATGTTATAGAACTTACTGACAAGAATTGTCATACTGTTCAAACTGGTGAATGGTTCATCAAGGCATATGCTCCCAACTGTGGAGCAAGTCAAAGTATTGCTACCCCTTGGATCAAACTCGGAGAGTGGGCATTGGACAAGCACTATAATATTGCAGAAATAGAAATTTCAGCAGAGAGTTTGTTTAGCAATCAATTGTTGGTCAAGAAAACACCAGCATTATTCCATGTTAAGGATGGAGTTTTTACTCATTTCCAGGGAATAATTAATTCGAATCAGTATCGCGGAAAGGTGGACACCTGGACTACATTCCTGAGCGAGAACATGAGTGAGCAATTAGAGCCACTGACCTGGTACAAGTGCCCTGGATCTATAACTATGATACTATACGCACATCTTACTGTCAAATTCAAGATACCAGCTGAGTCCTCAATTCTGATACTTACTGTGGCATTTTCTATGATAGCAATTGCACTATTTTCAGTTTCACTGAAATTGGTCAAGACCAAGTTTTGCAAGTTGGAATTGTCTGGAAAAGATGAGTGACATGTGAACTTTATTTGATAAACTGTTCATTACTAATAATTGATGGCACTTACTTTTGTAGCATTACCAAATTGTAAATTGATTGTTGATATTGTCTTTTACCTGTTTGTAATTGATATTGATTTTTTATGGTAATATTAGTTTATGAAATAGTTTTTAAAATTGTATTCGTTTTTCATCGTTAATTTATTGTGATTTGATTATTTTAATCTGTTTTATCTCTTTCGGTGGTTTGATATGAACCTTTAGGTAATCATGCAAATTCTGTATTGTAATCAATGTATTTTTTGGTTTATACTGTACTGATTGATTTTACCCTCCCAAATCCATGATCATTTAAAAGGTCGATTTATTTACATGAAAATTGTGCAGATCATCAATGAAATTTTGGTTTCCTAATCAAGAATTATTAAAGTGGTACCCTTAGTCATTATAATTGCTAAATTTGATGATGCCAGAAATTTCGATTTGAAGAGAGTAATGTTCCAGGACCCAGGTGTGTCATCATCTTTCTTATTGAACAAGATAATTTAGGGCAGATGGAGCATTCCAGTTTTAATTGTTGATTTATATTATTATATGCAGCTGATGAAATTAGAGCAGGTATATTGTTGGTGCAGCCTTTGGTAATTTATAGTCCGTTTTAACTTCATAATTGATCTAGTTATTCACTGCACTTGACTGATTAGTTTAAAATGTTGCCTCGATCTTTCAAAGCTAAAATTATCGATTTTTTGTTTGAAAAGTGACAACGTATGTTGCAATTCTTTTTGAGTTTTAAAATAACTGTGCTTTTTAAATGTGATTCAAACATGACCTTATTATATCTGTAGGATGTTTACCTGAAACAACTGAGATCAACCCATAAATGAACTGACACAAATCTCTAATATCCTACTTTTCCATCTTCATCCTACGTCAGTGTGATTACGGCTAATCTCTAAATAATGCTTGAAGTTTTGAGTGCTTCATCCCTTCTTTTTGGAGCTGGACTTTTGCCTCTCATCTTCTACAAAGGCAAAGAGCACAGCGCTCATCCATACTTCAATTATGTGCTAAGGTTAGATATTGATAAATGATAATATAGTACATATTTTTGACTACGGTAGAATTATATATTCCTCACTAATCACTGTTTGATTGCTTTCCTCAATTTCTATAACCTATCAATACAACTTTAATGTAACTTAACCTTTTTCCTCCAGTTTTGGCCTCTCAATTCTGCTAGGTGACGTATTTTTACACCTGTTACCAGAAGCATGGCTTTTAGAGGCGACCACCCCCGACACAGCTCTCATGGACTTTGTGCCTAGGTCTAACACCACTGTCTTACTAGGTCAGCCCTCGTCACCTGTTTATATTTTACTGTTGGTTTGTATTTAGTTTCAGTTATCAGCACATGTTCTACATATTTATTCAGCACTGTTGGTATATTATCGCATTTTTAAATATTGGTCTAGAACGGTCTAAAAATAATGTATTGAAAAGTAGACAGGTGCCCTGCAACTGTTTCAAACGAGTGGAAGTCTGTAGTATAATTCAGTACAGGACGCTGATGAAAGGTTCATGTTTCAGCCTGGAATTAGATTATAACTGCTAGTGGTTTATACCTTTGGAAGTAAATTGTAACACTGATAAGTTATAATCTAATTGGCATATGGGCAAAAGGAAACATTTGAGAAATTTGGAGGATTTTCGTCATATTTTTAATTCCATTCATTCCATTCCTGCATTTAACCGCTCACGACAGGGACCGTTAAGTTTTGCAGTCGACTGATCTACCATGGTTAGCACTTAGTATTCACTATTATATAATATTGTAAAAAAGGATTATTACTATTATAAGGTTATTCAAAATCCCAAAAGCTCACGTGTAGTGTAATATGTAGTGAAATAACTGCCACCCACATGACGTTAGATTCATTATATTATAATGGCTCAGACGGGGATTTCAACATTGCTACCTTGGTATTGACAATGCATAATGTGTATTTTTATGCAAAACTATTCTAAGTTCTAACCCTCAAAATAGCAAATTAAATAAATAAATAATGACTCCCTTTTCCCGACAGGTATTGTACTGTTCTTCACATTAGACCGGCTACTTGGGGACGTTGTGGGCTATTTAACAGTCTGCTCGAACACTATAGACAACTTCCTGCACGGCCTTGCTATAGCCGTAGCGTTCAATGTCAGCCAAACCACTGGCTGGCTCACCACCGCAGGGATACTACTACACGAGCTGCCTCACGAGGTGAGTCAGCTTCTTTTTCACCTCACCAGGTTATTTTTATCTTATATTTCTTTTACACTAGATTGTTTTTCATGTTATCATATTGTGGTAATAATATTAGTAACTAGATGTTATTGTTTCGTGTATAAAATTGGCTATCGTTATCGCAATAGCAGGAAGCAGTCAATTTACAAAATAGAGACTGATAAAAAGCAGTAAAAAAGAGAAATTTATAGAATTTATAGAATTCAATAGACAGATTTCACCATTCTGTTAATGATTTAGTTTATTTTGCACATGAAAAGCAGGCACAGTTTGAACAATCCAAAGATAGTGTGAATTAAAAAATCATTAGTCAGTTAGCACAACAATTGTTCCATGATGCATGTTTGTAATGTTTCTTTATTGATGTGTCATATAATATTGTGCCAAACTTCATCATCACAAACATAGTGTTACAGGGATACGATGTGTAAGCTCATCACAATAATTGTTATTACTTTTCATTACCTTCATAGTTCATGTTAGTTGTGCTGTATAACTGACAGGGCAAATAGCAAGCGGGTAAAGGTACATAAAGTGTGAACATGGCATGTTAATGTGCAAATAAAACAAATGCTCGTCTCCCTTGGTTCGTTAAAAACATAGGATCACATGCTCTTGGTAGATAGTTCATTAAATACTACTGGTAAACTTAGGATCAATTTATAATCAGTGGTAAATAAATCAGTCAGAGATGGAATTCATATAACTCAAGTGCTAAGTACAGTTTTCCCCTTCTATGCAGCGCAAAATAAAGTGGCATACATATATGTTATTAGCTTATTAGACATACTAGTGTAACCCGGCCTTCGGCCGGGATTTCACTGCCGCATTTGAAAAGGGTAGGAGTAATTACCTGTTGAGTCAAAACCCGCATTTGGTGAGCAATTCTATTCGGAGTGCCCTCACGTCGTATCCAATGGTATCAAGTAAACAATAGAAATTAACCCTTAACACGATGAACCACACCCGCCTATCATATTTGTGAACATGCATTACAATGTCGTATGAAAGTATGAACTCTCTCTACTGCAGTCCAAACAGACCGTTTGAGTTTTCCCTCCCCTAATAAGTTTATAATATTACATGACCATGTAATATATATACGCCATGTAATATATACGCTACATAATATTATGCAGAGAGAGCTAGGCCCGTAACTCTTGCCGTTCTGCTCAAGCCATTTTATGTAACATTTGTGGTACAAAACCGTCAATTAGGACGTGTTCAAACCTGGTTGGTGGTTTTGTTACATTTTTCCCACTCTTTACTTCTGGGCCCCCAGATTGAAATCTGTAACATTATAAGAAAAACTGAAACTACTGACAAAAACTAGACCCTTTGACTGAGGGCACCCTTGAATCAGAATTTTTGTAACATATTCAGGTCCTGAGATATAGCAGTTTAGTTGGGGGCCCTGGATATTGAATTTTGTAACACATTTCTATGTTACACTTTTTCAATGAGTTTTTAGAGAAGCTTCTTGATAGTTTTTCAAGTTCAGACTAGTTTTTTTAGGTCACAAAGGGTTCCATCAACCATATTCTTGACCAAATTTTGTACTTGGGCCCAAAACATTGAATTCTGTAACATATTTATGTTTTTACTGCTAAGGTCATATCTGGAATATTCAATATATTTTTGTATTGGTAACATGGTTTTTAGATTCTCATACAAAATTCTGAAGCAATCCTTATTCATATAATTTGATAAAATGGCTGCGGAACTTGAATTATGTAACATTAGAAAGTAAGTGTATAGAGTATGTACCCTAGTGTGAGGGGTGTTAGGTAAGCCTTATTATAGTTTTTGAAGTTCAGACCAGTTTTTCCAGGTCACAAAGGGTTCCATCAACCATATTCTTGACCAAATTTTGTACTTGGGCCCAAAACATTGAATTTTGTAACATATTTATGTTTTGACTACAAAGCTCATATCTGGAATGTTCAATATATTCTTGTACTGGTAACATGGTTTTTAGATTCTCATACAGAATTGTAAAGCAATCCTTATTCGTATAATTTGATAAAATGGCTGCGGAACTTGAATAATGTAACATTAGAAAGTAAATTTATAGAGCATAGTATATAGTATGTATCCTAGTGTGAGGGGTGTTAGGCAAGCTATATTATAGTTTTTGAAGTTCAGACCAGTTTGCCTAGGTCATAAAGGGTTCCATCAACCATATTATTGACCATATTTTGTACTTGGGCCCAAAACATTGAATTTTGTAACGTTTTAATGTTCCGGTCAAGCATTTTGTACACTGACCTGACATTTTATTGTTACAAATTTCAATATATAGGGCCCAATTTCTATTTTCTATACAATTTGATCTATAAATTAAACGTTTTTAAATATCCAACCTTTAATCTAATTAGCTATATTCATTTGATTAAATTAACCGCGTTCTGTCGTAAATTTAAATTACATTACATTTAAATTGTTACAAAATTCAATAATTTGGTCCCAATTATCATTTTTTAAATTTGTTAAGTTGTTTCATGTCTTTATTATAATTCATCAACCAACTTAAAACCAATACTAGATCAAACAACTCTGTATAACATACTCATTTGTAACCATGTTACGTTATTCAAAAAAAATGGGCCTTTTATTGATTATGAACCATATACCAAGATTGTGGTAATGCCTTTATACAAGAATTGCTGCACTAATAACCTGGTTTTAGAGTTAAATACATATCCTACACTAGCTGTGGTTGTAACAAACTATAAAAATATCACGAAAACAAGATGTTACAAAATGTCCATTTTGGGCCTTTTTATGAACTCAAAAGTGGGCCTTTTTTCATTCCACAGCTAAGCAAATACCTAAAGTACATTTTTGTGAAGCAAGAATCTTTAGAATTTAATAATTGGCTGAGCCATTGAAAAGTGTAACCAAATGTTACATTTTTCAATATAACTGGGCCATTTTACAATATTATTCATAGCCGATGACCTGAGACTATTTGTTATGACAATTATAATCATATCTGAAAGTTTCAAGACCATCGAGTAATTATTAATGGAGTTATTGTAAAAATGAGAAAATCGCCCATTTTGGCAGTGTAACAAAACCACCAACCAGGTTTGAACATGTCCATTAAACCACTTACCACCGACCGATTTAAAAAACCTTTTTCATTTAACTTCGTCAGAGTTTTGTCGGCACTTTACCGAAAAAATCAGCCCCATAACTCTTACAGTTTTCTTGCTTAAGCTGCTCGGAAATTACACACGCACGCACGCACGCACACACAGATAACACACATCTTGATAATATCATTATTGATTACTGATACTGTAACTTCCGAATACTTTACTTATTCCATTCCTAACACTTTTATTCTTTATTTATTATCTCTCAGTTGGTTTTAAAAGCTTTACTTAGTTATAGAATTAACCTGAAGCATCACATTAGTACAACAGAGCTGTAGTATTATTGTTTTTGGAATGAATGTTCTAACATCCAGTTCAACTTAATCTGCTGATATTTCTCAGCAGGTTTGATTTGATTCTGGTTTAATCGGTAGAGGGTTTAGAGTTAAAACTGAGGCACTTTAAAGTAAGCAGTCTTTAAATAGTGACAAAAGATAAAACGTCTTATCTTATTATAAAGAGGTTAAAAGTGTTGAATTACAGTACTGACTACAGTTTGGCTGCTGGCAGATTCTATAATTACTCGTATCCTGTATCAGAGCTGAATGTTATCTTCCAAGCAAGTTTTATTAGAGCTAACTTCATTACTAACAGCAGTTCTTATCTCTCGTTAATAACTGAGCCTCTCATGTAACCTAATATTGTTATTGTGTAGGTTGTGCACATTTTCAAGGTTTATTGTACAGGTAATACTCACTCTGCAATAATTAGCCTAATAACAATGGTAATTATAATACTCCCTCTGCAGTTACTCACTCTGTTATTAGTCTAATAACAAAGGAACTGGTGGTGATGTGCAGGTAGGGAAAAATATCTGTATTATCTGAACCTCTGTGTTATAAGGATAGTGGTGGTTGGTCTACTTAACAATTTAACCAGCTAGCACCTGGTCAGTGCAGTGGTTTATACACGCTCACTGAACTTAATATACTACTTAAAGGCTCCATAGCTTCTGGGGCCCACACGCCCCCATACCACGCCCTTAACTAGATTCACAGGTTTGGGAGACTGCAGCAGCTAGCACCATGTTTATATTAATACATAGAAATCACCCAAATTAGTAATATACCTTGGTAACTACCTAACCACTCTAAACTAGCTAGCACGTGGTCAGGTACCTGGCTCATCTAGCTAGCACGTGGTCAGGTACCTGGCTCATCTAGCTAGCACGTGGTCAGTTACCTGGTTCATCTAGCTAGCACCTGGTCAGGTACCTGGCTCATCTAGCTAGCACGTGGTCAGGTACCTGGTTCATCTAGCTAGCACCTGGTCAGGTACCTGGCTCATCTAGCTAGCACGTGGTCAGGTACCTGGCTCATCTAGCTAGCACGTGGTCAGGTACCTGGCTCATCTAGCTAGCACCTGGTCAGGTACCTGGCTCATCTAGCTAGCACCTGGTCAATTAATTAGGTACTGCTGTAAAATTTCTATAGAATTTCTAGGAAATTTACATATTATAAAAATGTCCAGTTTTAAGTGATGTGTTGACTGTTGAGATACAGTATTCGTGGGACAAGGGGCTAAATCATTAAATTAGTCAGACAGATGTGTAAAGAGTGGAGATAATTTCAAGAACAATCATTACTCAGAGTATCCAGAATGAACCAGAAACAAATTTAAAAAGAAATTGCTAACAATATTTCTTTAGTTCAATTCATGAAAACCATGTAAATTCGTAGGGAACCTGAAGCAGTGAAGCCCTTTCGTCAGATTCTGTATGCAGATTTGTGCGTAACCAAAGCTGCACCATTCACAACACAGTTTGGTGGCTGACTTTCACCAGACCAAGTAACTCACCTCCAGGTTTCAATACCT